ATATATAGGAAGAAGATAGATTACAGGAATTTGGGGGAAGTGGATTTAGGGAAGAAGATGGATTACAAGTTATAAATACACATATATGTGTATGTATTATACAGAGAGAGACTAGGAGTTTATCTTTTGCACTTTTTATTTTGTATTTTGCGATATTTCATAGCTCTATTTCGAGCAGCATGGTGGTGGAGGTAGTGGCGGCTATGGTAGGGATGTGAAATAGTGGTGGTGGGTGTGAACTGGTCGTGGTGGGTGTGGTGGCTATTGGTTTGGTTTATTAATATGAGTTGGGTTACTAGGGTATTTTGGTCAATAAAAAAGATTGTATTGAATAAATTGGTAATTAAATATGTCAAAAGACAATAATGTCAATTCACCATATGTAAGGACCATTGGGGTGCATTTGTTAACTTTATCAAACCTAAAGGGTGTCATTGTTAAAAAATGGCCCAACTTATATATAACTGTCATTATAGCAAACCTCAGGGGTATCATTGTAATTAATCCTTAAAATAAACACTTAAGATGAGAGAGAGCTTGTTTTTATTCATAAAGAATCTGAACACTATTTATTAGAATCGCAACAAAAACGAATTGAATTTGTATCATTGCTATTTTTAGTATGACATTTCACGGCAATGCCACTCTCTTATTACCCGATATGTAATCATTTTAAATTGTAAATACAATAATTACCATGTTAAAATTTTAATTAGAGCATCTACGGCGCTGTACCATTTGGATCTCTCTGCAAAATGTGGAGAGTAAAATGCAATAGTGTGGGCAATGGTGGAGTCCACACCATTATCTTCACTCTTATCTCAAAAATTAAAGAACCTTGGTGGGCCCTTGGCTCTATTCATTTAAAAAAAAAAAAAAAAAATTACATTTAGATAGAGTAACTAGTCCTAAATAACAAAGTAGTCTATTTTAATACTTGGGTCAAAAAGAACATTGCTAAACCTCAAAATTTACATGGGGTAGTTCATATAATGATTCAATATGAAAATATTCCATTCTACGGGCAACTCCCTGAATAATCTTTAATCGATAGTTATTAATCTAATACACAGATTTTGTATCAAAAAATGTGTGATACTAATCATTAAACTAAATAATTGGACATTATCATAAATGTTAGAATATAGATGGAGGAAGCAAAAAAAAATGAAGATTTTCTTTTATGAGTGAAGGAAAAGAAAATGCAATTTCATTCCACTCTTGCTTTTAATTAGAATTGTATCCTTAATTAATGAGAAAATGATAAAGTGCATTTCACCCCTCCCAACATTCTTTTATATCATACAATGGTTTCGAATAGTTGTACTAGTTTGGTTGCTTTTGTTTGTTGGACTATTTGGAAATGCCGCAATGATTTGGTGTTTTAGCGTAAAAGATGGGATCCATTTGAGGCTGCTCAAAAAGCCTTCACTGATTTTCAGGAATCTAAGGAAATCTCTAGGCAAGACTTGATGCTCTCCCTCCCCCCCCTTCTCCTCTTCCTCATGTTGTTTATTGCGATAAGTGGTCTGTTCCGGTTCCGGGTTTCCTCAAACTCAATTTTGATACGGCGTTTAATTCTTCTTTACTGACTTGTGGAGGAGGTATGATCCTTCGCAATCATTTAGGCCATCCTATTAAAGTCGCCTCGGTTTTTCTTGATCACGTTTCTAGCCCTCAGCTGGCCAAAGGTTTTGTTCTTCGTGAATCACTCATTTTTCTCAATCGCTGGGGCTATCATAACGTGGTCGTGGAAGGGGATTGCATGCCTGTGATGAAATTGAAAGATTCGGTTGATGATTTGATGGTGGTCTTCAATGACATCCTTTCTATCCTCAAGGATTGTGCGGGTTCCTCCCTTGTATGGGTTCCTCGTCGAGGGAATGTTGTTGCTCGTGTTGAGTAAAAAGGCTCTTGTAGCCGAATATGGTGATTTTGAGTGGAGCATATGGCCCTCGTAGTTGTTAAATGCTTTTCTTCCAGATTATTCGTGTCCTTTTCGTTGTTAAATATATTGTTGTTAAAAAAAAAAATTTAAACCTTTGTCTCTTTTATTTGTTTTTTTTAGTGTCCTTTGTTTGGATGTAAAATGCTAAGAATTTTTTAAAGAATATTTTATTTCATTGAGACGACTTCTCACTCTCGAAGGTGGACGTTGCCCTAATCTCACTCGGAACCATCCAATCCACAAATGATTTCGAAGCCAAAATCCCACCAACGACTTGGGAGGACAAATGATGCATCATCGCCTGGTTCTTTCCTTCTCTCATTCTTCCTTTCCTTTCCTTCTCTCATTCTTCCTTTCCTTTCCTTGTGCTTGTCTTTTTCAATGGATTGATGTCATTTTATTATATTTTAGGCTGCAGAAGAAGGACAATTTAAAGTATAATAAAATTTTGGAACTCCGTGTTTATTTTTCTTAACTTCAATCACATCATCATCAATTTTTTGTTTATTTTATTTTTTGAATTGTGCTATGTGCACCATATATTTTACTGATTTGATATTGACATTGTGTTTTAAAGTATAATAATTGATGGCTAAAAAAGTTGCAAAAAGTAATTTTCTTTCATATAATGATTCAATATGAAAAATTATAGTCAGTAGTGGTCCTAAATAAAAAAAAGTGTCTATTTTAAGACTGGACCAAGAAGAACATTGCCAAATTTTACACGGGCAGCTCATAAAATATGAAAATAACTCATTCCAGGGGCAATTTCCTGAATAATCTTTAAAAAGAATTTATTAAGCTAATACGAACAGATTTTGTATCCAAAAATGTGTGATACTAATAGTTAAACTAAATAATTGGGCATTAACGTAAATGTTAAAATATAGACGGAGAAAGTTAAAAAAAAAAAAAAAAAATGAAGGTTTTCCTTGTGTGACTGAAGGAAAAGAAAATTCAATTTCATTATACTCTTGCTTTTTAATAGAATTGTACTCTTGCTTTTTAATAGAATTGTATTATTAAAATGATAAGATCAACTAATGTTAAAGGTTAAAGGTTATGTTTACATTTAGTCCACTGCTTCCAAGTTTCCAACATCATTAATACATTCCTAATTAACGAGGGAATGATAAAGTGCAATTCACCTGATCTAATAATATAAAAAAATAATAATAAAATAATAAAGTCAATAAAGTTGTAAAACAAAAAACATGATCTATGTATGTTTAAATGTAAAATGTTTTTTATTTTTGGTATTTGATTGTAGTAAAATACTAACAAAAAGAAAAAAAAAAAAAAAAAATTTACAAAAGAAATAACTTACCTAACCAACAATGTTCCTATTTTTCAAAGGAAGGTCAGAGTTCGAACCTCAGTGGAGGCAGTGTGTGTGAGTCCTAACTAAAAAAAAGAATAAAATAAAATAAAACTTACCTATTAATTTTCTACAAATTATTTTAAAAACAACTCGACTTGACCTCCTTCTCATCCCTTGCCAAATACCAAAAAAAAATAAAAAATAAATAATGAAAATAATTGTAAAAAAAAAAAACCCAAAAAAGAAAAATATGTTACGTCCCACAAGCCGAGCCCTATTGCATTTTGTGAAGTAATTATATTTCATAGTGATGACTCCTCACTCTTGGAGATCAACGTTGCCCTAACCTCAGAAGAAGAACAAGGTCAATTACTTATATTCCATTGTGATGTTCTCGCTGCAAGACTTCCTCACCACAACCCACCCTCTTCTTCTACTGCCAATGATACATCATCGCCCGGTTCTTCCCTTCTCTCATTCTTCATTTCCCTGTGCTTCTCTTTTTCAATTGATTGATGCCATTGATTTTATTTTAGGCTGCTGAAGAAGGATTATTTAAAATAAAATAAAATAAAATTTTGGAATTCCATGTTTATTTTTCATAACTTTGAATCACATCATCATCAATATTTTGTTTTTTGAATTGTGCTATGTACGTGATACATTTTACTGATTTGATATTGACATTGTGTTTTAAAGTATAGAATTGATGGCTTAAAAACTTGCATAAAGTAATTTTCTTTGGACTCTAGTTTCAATTATAAATCACCAACTACATGTTACCAAATATAATTTGAGAATTAACGACCTTTGCAAATTTTTGTGTGTCGTGGATTTGATCTTTGCTTTATATTTTGTGTACCTCCAATGGAACATTCATTCCCCTCGATTTTGAGATGGTACTGTTTTTTCTACAAGCTTAGTATGTGATGATTATTTGAAAGCTATGTAAACGACAATTGGAAATGATAAAGAAAGTAATTTCTTACATTTTGTTTCCATAAATATTCACAGAAAATAAAAGATAATATTAGCATTGAGAGGTGAATGTCACAAATCCTAGTCATATATGCCTTCTAGATGCATCTTTCCCTTGCTTACTATTTCAAAGAACTAGGTCGCCGACGGCCAAGATATCACCACCCCGAGTCAAGGGTAATGATGAAGTTGATATATAAATGACCTTTGTGTAACTATCCAAGGTCAAGGATGTCATAATGGCACAATACCCCCAAGTCAAGGGTAACGAAGAAGTTGATTTGTGTATAGTTTTTGTGGACATCCTTGGCCTTGGTGTTGTGGACATCCTTGACCTTGGTGTAACAATCCAAGGTCAGGGATGTCAAATTGGCATACCACCTGCTCAATTAATTGATCATTTATGGTCTGCAGATTCCCATGCAAGCAGACCACCTGCCCTAAGACTCTGAGTGGGTAGAGGAGAAAGTATTACCACCACTCCAGTCCCAGTGTGAAAGTTAAGGGTACAATGGTTATTTATGGGGTTATATCACGTGTTAGTCATACTAGGTATAGGGTGAGCGGGGCCATCCCACGTCATTGATGTGATCAATGAAAATCTAGCAAATCAGTTTGTGGGGAGGAGTTTTTATCAGATGTTGAGACCAATTTCATTGTATCATAAATGGATGGTGGATTTTAATTGACGGGCATTATCAAAGACGTGACGTGCCTGGCTCACCCGTAATCTTCTTTGTTGGGGATGTATATTTAATATAGTGCTGTAAAGAGTGTGAAAGGAAGACTTCGAAGAAGACTTTCTGATTTGGTTTTCGTTTTACTTGTTTGTCATCTGCCATGAATTTATATTGAATAAAAAACCGAGAAACACACACAAACACCCTCTGAGTATATCATCAAAGAATTATGGTTTTTTCCATAGTTCTTTTATTTTATTTTATGTTTTCCACTTTTACAATAATCTCCAATGCGGTAGAATTACACACCATAACTACAACTCAATCTCTTACTGATGGACAAACCATGGTCTCTTCAGATGGAACATTTGAACTGGGATTTTTCAGCCCCTCAGGTAGTACTTCCAGGAATCGATACTTGGGAATATGGTACAAGAAAATATCTAATGGGACTGTGGTTTGGGTTGCCAACAGAGATACTCCACTTACTGATGCATCAGGAGGAGGTGTCTTGAAGCTAACTGATGGAGGAATTCTCGTGCTCGTCAATGTCAATAGTACAAACACCAGCTTCTGGTCTTCTTCAAATTCGTCATCAAATAACAACATAGTGAACCCAGTTGCACAGCTTTTGGATTCGGGTAATCTTGTTGTCAGAGATGCAAATGATGAGAATTTCTTGTGGCAGAGTTTTGATTATCCATGTGACACTTTGTTGCCGGGCATGAAGCTTGGAAAGAACTTAGTAACCGGAATTGATCGGCATCTATGGTCATGGAAGTCCAGTGATGACCCTTCTAAAGGTGAGTATTCTTATGGAATTGATCTTCGTGGATTCCCACAATTAGTCCTCCTAAAAGGTTCGGTTGAGAAATACCGTTCTGGACCATGGAATGGTCTCCGCTTTAGTGGCTCCGTGGGTTTACTACCAAACAGCATCTACACATACCGTTTTGTTTTTGACCAGCAGGAAGTGTATTATGAATATGAGCTTATTAATAGCTCAGTTTTCTCACGGCGGGTTTTGAATCAGAATGGAATACTACAGCGCTTGACATGGAATTATAAAACACAGGAATGGACAGTTTACGTGAATACACCATCAGATAACTGTGATTTTTATGGGCTGTGTCAGGCCTATGGTATCTGCAGCATTGCTAACTCCCCGGTGTGTGGGTGTCTTGATAAATTTGGTCCAAGGTACCCAAAAGATTGGGGCACAGCAGATTGGTCAAGTGGGTGTGTTCGAAAAACACCCTTGGATTGCCACAATGAATCATCAAATGGATTTATCAAGTATTCCAGTGTTAAATTGCCTGACACGCGGAATTCCTGGTTTAATAGGAGCATGACCCTCAAGGAATGCGAAACAGTATGCTTGAAAAATTGTTCTTGTATGGCTTATGCAAATATAGACATAAGAGAAGGAGGAAGTGGCTGCTTGCTCTGGTTTGAAGACCTGATTGATATTAGGGAGCTCACAGAAATTGGACAAGATATTTACATAAGAATGGCCTCCTCTGAGTTAGGTATGATATATATTCCCAAACATGTAGATGAGTAACTGTTAAATTCTGTTGTGGAAATAAAAAGAAAGTTGCCAATCTTTTCAACAGCTTTGCAAGCAGAGTTGTAGAAAGGAGGCATAAATCAAGAGGCATATGGAAGCTCTCACACACATTCTCTTGCACTTGGTTTTAATTGTATTTTATTGATTTTTTTTCTCAAAATTTGTATAGTGACTAAAATCATATAATGTTAGAAACTACCGGTCATAGTATCAAGCAAACAAATTCCTAAATATTCGTGAATATGTTTAAATTTCTGAATCTAATTACCATGTAAAAGAGGAGAATTTGAAGAGGCTTTGTCTTAGAAAATAGAAACTTTCATGGGTTGAAAACCTATACTATGGGGGAAAATCAATCTTAATTTTTTTAAAAAAATATATTTTTGGATTAATTGACGGCTTTATTTGGATGATAAACTTGACAGTCTCCGAAGTTGGCTCCAAATCCAATAGGAAGATGCGAAAGAAAGTCATAGTCATCTTGGCTTTACTAGCAGGAGTGTTAGTGCTGGGCCTAACCTTGGCCTTGTATGTTTGGATGAAGAAGCATCAAGAGCAAAAGTTAAATAGAGGAGGTAACTAAATTAGGCATTTTATGGTCAAGTAGTTTGTTTGGTTTACTGGTACTGTTCTATTTATGTGCTCTTTTCTCTTTGGAAGGAAATGTGTGCAATTGTTTTGAAAATTAAAGTTGGTTTCGTCTAATTTCACTTTTACCCCTATTTACAGAAAGTTTGGATCGTGGCTTGGAACAATGTCACACTAATGAAAGCCACAAGGAAGATCTAGAGTTGCCAATGTTTGACTTATCAACAATAGCTGATGCTACCAATAACTTCTCAATCAGCAATAAACTTGGAGAGGGTGGATTTGGACCTGTTTACAAGGTAATAATATGGATGCACTTACATGAATTCCTAAGACCGATATGGTTGATGCTCAATTGATACTGATACTAGGCAAATGCACTAAAATCATTGCATTTCTCTATTATTACTTATCTTAATGGTTTTCATCTCTCAGTGAAGAAAAACAAATTCTGAATTTAAAATTACAGTCAGCAAGCCTTCAAAAAGGTTAAGAGATGCTGTACTTTTCTGAAAGTAATAATATGGATACACTTGCATGAATTCCTAAGTCCGATATAGCTGATACTCAATTGATACTGATACTAGGCAAATGCACTAAAATCATTGCATGTCTCTATTATTCTGAATTTAAAATTACAATCAGCAAGCCTTTAAAAAGAGGATATTTGGATGGGGGTGGTAGAGATGCGATCGTGTTTGGTTGGGAAGTTTGATAAGGAAGTGGGTGATAGGGCTCAAATCGTGGCTTGGGCCTCTCGAGCTTGGAAGGTTTCCTCCGGAGTGGTTGTCTTGCCTCTGCCGGATTCTCTGCTGCTCTTTCGTTTTCCCTCTCCGGTAGAGGCTTCTCGCTTGCTCAAAGAGGGTCGCCGTGAATGGGGGACGGCCACTTTATGAGTGGATAAGTGAAGTTTCCGAGTGGGGTGTTCTGAAAGGTAAGTGGTTGAAGATGGTGACGCTGTATGGTCTCCCTCTTCACCTTTGAAGTCCTGCCTTGTTTGTGACGGTCGGTGATTTGTGTGGTGGGTTTATTTGGGTGGATGCCGACGAAGCCATTGATACTGAAAGGGTCTGTATCACAGTGTCAGACGGTAAAGTTTGTCCTCCTTTTGTCTTCATTCATGATGATCGGCTCTGTTTTAAAGTGGCGGTGTGGGAGGAGAAGGCTCCTGATCTTGTTCCGACGACGGATAGTTTGGAAGGAGGGGATGATTCACACTTGCTTAAGGAAACTGATTGGCTGAGGTGGGAATTGATGGGGAAGAAGGGCTTGGCAGAGTTTCAGAGATGGAAGGAGTGGAGGGATGCGCTTTGGGTCCGTAATTCGTAGTGCTTTCGTCGGCTTTTTACTTTGAAAAGAAAGAAAGGTTGCTGTGGTTGATCGTCGTCGGCAAGCTGGTGTTCGGGAGAATCAGAGAGGTGGAGGTCTCACCGGGCTTGGCTGTCAGTCGTTCTTGCAGAGGTGGGATCGGGGACGCAATCGTGGTGGTCTTCACGTGAATCAAGTGCGTGGGTGGGGGAGAATTGCTGACCAGACACGTGGTTGGCGCTCAGGAGTCGGACATTCTAAGTGGATTACAGCTGGATCCAACTCGTTTTCAAAATCTTGGGCTCCAAAGGCTGGGTTTCCTTCTTATGATGATGGGCATGTTATTGGTCCTAATGGTGGGCCGGTGAGAAGGGCTTCTGGAGTTTGTGCTTGCGGGTAGGTGGATGGGCCTCCTCATGGTTCTACTGACTCTGGGCTATTGCCATTGGGTTCGGGTAGTTTTAACCCATTTTCACATGGATCGGTTGAAGGAGCGACGGTCCATCAGAATTTTGTCAATTGTTCTGCTAGTGGGTTTTTGGGTCTGGGCTGTGGGCTGCAGGGTAGACTGGGACAAGAAGGAGCTTGGGGGTGGAAAATGGTGTGTTGTCTACTGTTTATAAACTTTTGTCCCCGGCCTTTGAGGAGAATCCTTAACCGGATTGTGTGGAGCGGCATGGTGGAGGTAGTGCTAAAGGGTTGGGTTCCTCTCGATTGTGTGACATTTGTTGTGAGCGAGTTACTGTCTGTGTGGGGCGAGATGTGAATATTAAGCTTGATGATGCTACAGCCAATGTTCTGTTGAAGGAGTTGCGGGATCATTTGGCCTCGAAGGGTTTGTAGTGTGATGCTAGAGATTCTAATTCTGATGAGGAGGTTGCGACTCCGTTGGCTTGCTGTTCCCCTTCCTTTTCTGATGTTTGGGAGGGAGATGCAGCTTCCTCCTTTGTTGGGGAGTTGGGTTTGGTCCAGTGGGAGGGGGATGAGGCAGATGTTGATATGTTTGTCCCTTTGGCTGTTGTTCGACCAGAGGTTGAGAATGGGAGGGATTCTATTGCAGTTGAGGGAAAGGAGTGTTTGGAGGAGTGGTTGAGAGAGAAGGGTGGAGAGGTGGGTTCTCTTTTGGGTGTTTCTTTTGAAGGTATGATGGATGAGGCGATGAGGCTATTCCATGACATCCTTGGTGCTTAGCTTTTGGATAGGGTGGGAAGAAAGGGTAGTTCTCAGGCTGGGATGGGGGAGAGGGAGATGGGAGCCCCTCTAATTTTGTAACTTATGAGAGGAGGAATATGGGTCTAGGGAAAGGGACAGTGGAAAGAGGAGTGGGATTGCTATTTCATCTGTTTCCTTATGAAGTTATGAATTCTTTCATGGAATGTCAAGGGTCTCAATGACTAGGTTAGAAGAAGAGTTGTGAAATCGGTGATTCGTAAAGAGGGAGGTCATGTGGTTTGCCTTCAAGAAACCAAAATTGCTTTTGGGTGGGGGGTTGGATTGCTTTGGATGTGGTTGGTACTTCGGGTGGCATTCTGATTATGTGGGACAATCGTTGGGTCTTTTGGGGGACTCTTAGGTGGGGCTTTTCTCTGCCTCCTGCGTCCTTTCTTTGTTGGAGGATGGTTTTCGCTGGGTTTTTTCTAGGATTTATGGTCCTACATAGGATAGTGTGCGACATTTGTTTTGGGAGGAGTTGGGAGATGTTTGAAGGAGATGGTCGTTGCCTTGGTGTATTGGAGGGGATTTCAATGTTGTTCGTTCTCCTTTTGAGAGGTCGACGGGGGGTAGATGGACGTTTGACATGGAGTCTTTCTCGCAGTTCATTGATGGGCCTAGGTTGTTTGATTTGCCTTTGGTGTGTGGTCCCTTTACTTGGTCTAGTGGTTGCTCTTCTCCTACCCTCTCTCGTCTTGACAGGTTCCTTGTGTCAAGTGATTGGGAGGAGAAGTTCTCCGATGTTGTTCAGGCCACTTTGGCTTGCCCTATTTTTGATCATGTCCCGTTGATGTTGGATTGTGATGGTTTGCGTAGTAGAAGATCCCCTTTCTGTATTAAGAATATGTGGCTTCGGGTCGAGGGTTTTCTAGAGCGTGTTCGATCTTGGTGGGCGGGGTATGGAGTGGTTGGCGCCCCAAGTCATTCTCTTGCAAGTAAGCTGTGTCTTTTGAAGAATGATGTCAAAGTTTGAAACAAAGAGGTCTTCGGTAATCTGGTTTGGAGGAAGAATTGGGTTTTTTCAGAGATTGTTGAGATTGATCGGATGGAGGGTCAGGGCATTTTAGCGGAATCCCTGAGACTTAGGAGGGTGGAGTGTCAGGCGGAGTTTGCTGAGATTGCTGTCATGGAGGAGATTTCGTGGAGGGAAAAGTCTAGAGCCTTGTGGCTTAAGGAAGGCAACAATAACACTAAGTTTTTTCATAGACTTGCCAATGCTCATAGAAGGGGCAATCACATTGGGTGGATCCGGGTGGACGGGGAGATGTTTTGTAAGGAGGAGGAGATTTGTTAAGGTATTGTTGATTACTGTTTGATGTTGTTTACAGAATCTGCTGGTTGGAGACCCTTGCTTGTAGGGCTTTATTTTGACTCTATTTTGAGTGAGGAGTGCTATGTTCTAGAAGAACCTTTTTCTAAAGAGGAAGTTTTGTCTGCGTTGAAGAGCTGTAACGGGGATAAAGCCCCAGGTCCAGATGGTTTTTCCATGCGTTTCCTTTTGGAGTGTTGGGAGGTGGTTTATGAGGAGGTGATAGGTATTTTTCATGCTTTCCATGCTTAGGGCTCTTTTGAGAAGATCTTGAATGCCACTTTTATTGCTCTCATTCCGAAAAAGGGAGGGGCGCTGGATGTTAGGGATTTTCGCCCTATTAGCTTGGTCGGGTGTCTTTACAAGTTAATTGCTAAAGTCCTGGCTTCTAGGTTGAGGAAGGTCTTGGATGGTGTCATTTCTAATTCTCAAAATGCCTTTGTGGGTGGACGTCAAATTTTGGATTCAGTTCTTATTGCTAGTGAATGTGTGGACTCCAGGTTGAGTATTAGGGTTTCGGGTGTTTTGTGTAAGCTGGACATTGAGAAGGCGTACGATCATGTGAGCTGGAGTTTCCTTCTTTACTTGATGGAGAGGATGGGGTTTGGTGTGCGATGGAATAAATGGATCCTTTTTTGTATTTCTAGTGCTCGCTTCTCTGTCCTTGTGAATGGAGCTCTGACGGGTTTTTTCTCTAGTTTGAGGGGATTGAGACAAGGGGATCCGCTTTCTCCGTTCTTGTTTCTTTTTGTGATGGAGGCTCTTAGTAGATTGATTAAGAGGGCGGTCGAGTTAGGCTTTTTGAGAGGCTTTCGGGTGGGCATGGATGTTGCTAGTCAGTTGGAGATCTCTTACTTCATGTTTGCTGATGATACTTTAGTGCTTTGTGATGCGAATGCGTCCTAGTTGAGATATCTGAGATGCGTGTTGGTCTGGTTCCAAGTGGTCTCTGGGCTTAAGGTTAATGTCGGAAAGAGCGTTCTTGTGCCGGTTGGGGAGGTCCCTGAGATCGAGATGTTTGCTCAGATTCTTGGATGTTGCACTGGCTCTTTTCCCATTTCTTACTTGGGGTTGCCCTTGGGAGTTCCTTCGAGGTGTGTGGGAAGCTGGGATCCGGTTATGGATAGATTCGAGAAGAGACTGGCGGGATGGAAGAAGCAGTACCTCTCCAAGGGGGGCCGGGTCACTCTGATCAAGAGCACCCTTTCATACCTCCCCACGTATTTCATCTCTCTTTTTCAGATTCCTTCTTCTATGGCTGAGAGAATTGAGAGATTGCAGTGCAATTTTCTCGCGCGTGCGCGGCCCCCCGGGGGGGGGGGGTGGTGTGAGGAGAGGAGTTCAAGTATCATCTGATTCGTTTGGAGCAAGTGTGTTATCCAATTCGGAGTGGAGGATTAGGGATTAGGAGGTTGTTGCCTTTCAACAAGACTCTCCTTGGGAAATGGCTTTAGAGGTTTGGGGTAGAGA